ACCTCTTTTAACTAGTGACCACAAACACACACACTCCAGTAATCACATATCCAGTTACAAGTCTTACTTCTGAGCATTTAGTAGTAGGATTCTTGGAACAAAATGGCATTTCAGTTTCCAATTTTCTAAGGTGCCAACTGTTTTCCTTCTTGGTTGCACCATTTTAGCAAATGTCTGAGGGTTCAGTCTCCCCATACCCTCACCATCATTTGTTGTATCAGTCCCCTCTTCTTTGTGGTGAAAATACTTGTGCTGAAGAATACAGTAGACTTAGACAATTGTTTGGTGTGTATAAGGTTTAGAGCCTGTAGGTAATGTGGAAATGTGTTGTTCTTATGAGAAAATTGAAACACACCAAGGCAGTTGTTAGAGGTGTTGGCTCCAACTCAGCAATCCTTTGTGTAAAGAATGAAACGGTGCCCGGGCCCTGTTGGCCTCATGGTTTCTGCTGTTTGAGCCTGTTTCTGTGATCTGTGTTTCTCAACAGATGATATGTGACGGCTTGTTTTGTGTTGGTTGTTGTTTTTTAAGACTCAAGTACACTCAAGATCACGTGTCCTTGTTCAAAGAACCACCTTCCTGTTTAAAAAAACTATTTCTGATACCACATATTCCTCTCAGTGGTGAGGGAGGAAAGAGCCCTGGTCACGCAAACAATTGACCCTTCCTAGTGAAGGGTGTGGGAACGTTTCCAGAACTCAACCTGTGACAGGCTTTCCCAAAATGTGTCAAACGGAGAACATCCAGAGAAAGTCTTTGCCTTTCAAAGCCACTTGAACTCACTTACTTAACATGGATGCATTGATTCTTTGTAGAAGATTTACTGGCTTTATATTCTTCCGAATGCTCTATTTGAATTCTCAGATGCATTGAAACAATAAAGCATTTACAAAACTGTACGATTTTACACCTTTATAAGGACAGCAAAGCTGGTGGTCTGCAGCTGAAGGAATGCACTTGATGGATATGATCTCACAGTACAGACCTGACATTTCATGTACCTTGATCTTTGACCGCCACTGAGGTTGTGTACAATCTTGGGGCAGTTTATTTATTCTCCTGTGCACAAAATGGGTGTCATTTTTGCCCCTTCAGGTGCTGTGAGAAGCAGATGAGAAGATGCACTGAGAATGTTAAAAGGTGTTCAGTGTTTCCGTTTGGTTGAAAACCTAACCCACTGTTGAGAAGTTAATTCCAGCACCTGTCAACCCTCTTAGATTTCTGAGGCTCTGAATCTTAAAAGGAGCAGATTGCCTCCTCTCTTCCCCAGAAAGCAAGCAATTGGTCAAGTCAGATGAGTCAGTAGCCCAGTTCCTATTGCATTCCTGTGTAATCTAAGGGTGGGGCCTGGCTTTCAGTGGTGAGGTGGGGCCGGGTCAGGGGCAGCATTGGTGCCCGTGGGGGCCCACAGTTCTGCTGTCTCCACTTCCTGGGTGGACAAGTTACTTGACCACCCTAAACACAGACTCCTCATTTCTGTGGTGGAGACTTTGAATGTATATGAATATTTTCCTTCTGCTGAATAATCTACACTTTGTCCAGAAGCTTTCTTCTATCACAAGTCATTGTAGTCTGCCTGTATCCCTCCCCTCCACCATCTAGTTGACTATAGGATACTAATTTATGACAAGAATTAAGTAATGAAAGTCAGTTGTTTGATTTTTTTTTTTATCTCATTTCTGGAGTTCTTGAAACATAACGATGATATTATGTTTCAAGAACGATGATACTATGTTTCAAGAACGATGATATTAAATGTCCTGACTCTAAAGATTAATTTATTGTGATAGAATCAAACTTCTCCCTCTTACCCTAAGCCCTCCCATGCCCTGTCCTGTTTGGTATGATGGGGACTTGGGAATTGGCAAGCTTACAATACTCTATTTAGACCAGCGATTGTACTTTCTCTGCAAAAGCCACATACCATTGTATACTTTGCAGAACATGTGGTCTCTTGTATACTTTGCAGAACATGTGGTCTCTTGTACTATGCAGTGCTACCATGGCAGTATAAAAGCTGTCAGACTGCTGTGTAAACAAGCACATGCGACTATATTGCAGTAAACATTTGATTGCATAGAAGGTGACTGGCTAGTTTGGCTTGGTGGGGTCACAATTTGCCAACTCCTAGTCTAAATACTTTTTATTAAGTCCTTAACTCCAAACCTGGCTACATCAGAATTCCATAGAGTTTGCAGCAAGTAGGAATCCTAGGCTGCCTTGTGCCATGTCCCTGGCAATTAGTATTGACAAATCCAAAAGTAAAATCACAGCTTATTAATAAAGAAAAAAAAAATTGCATATTGTTATTTTAGTCTTAAGAATGAAGGGTTTCTCGTGGTGGACAGGTTTTGGTGGAGCTCCTAATTAAGATAGAGTAGGAGGCAGGATGGGTCATCTGCTTCCTAAATAACAGGCCTTTGAAAACCCTGTGAACGCTAAAGAAAGAGGATGGTTACAGTAGTGTAGTGATTGAGTCCCGACTGGAGGTCAGTTGAAATGAGGACACCCATAACAAACATCATTTGACAACTGGAACATGGGATGTATGTAGCTTGAATGTTGGAAAACTGGAAATTGTTAATGAAATGGAACACATGAAGATCAACACAGTAGGCATTAGTGAGATGCAATGGACCAGCTATGGCCACTTTGAATCAGATAATCATATGATATACTGTGCAGGGAATGAAAAACAGAGGAAGAATGGTGTTACATTCATAGTCAGAATGTCAATTTCCAATTTTATCCTGAAATACAATGTGGTGAGTGATAGGATAATATCCATACACATAAAATTTACTCAGATACATGCTCCTTAGAGCCTAACAAGAAGAAATTGAGATTTTTTATGAAATCTTGTGTAATGTGAAAGTAGGAAACATTGAAGAAGGAACAGTAGTAGTTGGAAAATACAGGCTTGGTGATAGAAATTAAGCTAAGAATTACTAGTATGACTTTATTATAGTAACTTTCTGAAAGAAGAAGAGGATAACAAGGTGAAAAGGTTGGGGGTTTTTGGGTATGTGCGTTTGTGCTCAAAATTAATGACTTAAAAGATCTTACATTGTAGACGGTTCTTGTATTCCTTCTGAATAGTGGTTGAGAAGGAAGCAGGAGTAGCATCCACTTCCTAAACAGCATGCTTCTGGAAACTGTGAACCTTGAGAAATAGTGACGGTTGTGGAAGGGCTTCAGGCCTTTTGTTCATAGGGTCCCTGTGAGTCATGCTTGACTTGACAGCAATCAACAACAACAATTGAGAAATGGTCTTTGCTAGACAGTTGAAAATCTAAACATTACTTCTTATTTCCCTCATGCAGTTCAGCACGACTGGGACAAAATGACAGAAGCTGTACAAAATCACATCGGCTCGCTGAACTGGGGCTACCGGGTAGCTCTGCGGGAGAAAAAAGTCACCTACGAGAATGCTTATGGGCAGTTTGTCGGGCCCCATAAGATTAAGGTGAGTAGGACAGGCCTGAGTGCCTGGACTGGAGGGAGGTGTGGCAGGGGAGGAGGTATTGTTTTCATGTACTAACTGAGAGAGCCCTGGTAGACAAGGGCCAAGCATCTGACATCTTTGGCAATTCAGACTCTCCCAGTGGCTTCTTGGAAGGACCTAGTAGTTTGCTCCAGATTACAGCTGAGGAAACCCTAGGGGCCAGTTGTACTTTGTAACATGGGCTTGCTCAAACTCAATTGCCATGGAGTCGGAACCAACTTTTCTTAACTGACCCATTGCTTTCTGAAGAGGCTTTCAATTACATATATGGGAAGATGGCCAATCTTCCCCCCTCGGAGCCGCTGGTGAATTCGAACCGCCACAGAGGTTAGCAGTGCAACTCCCTACAGACTACACCACCAGTGCTCCTGTGTGGCTGTTGTGAGATAAAAATGACTTGACTGCACAGGGCAGAAGTGGCCACCATGGCCCAGAGAGTTCAGTTTGGTGGCTTTGTGGTCACATGCCACAGGACATTTTGTTGGCACAGTAAAATAGCAAGGACTCTGGGTTTGGAGCCAGGTCCCTGCATTTGAGTCTGGACAGCCACATTCTGGCATCAGTATTTTAAACAAGTCTGTTAACTACCTAGAACCTTAATAGCTCTTTCTTCACTGGATTCCCATTTTTTTAAGAGAATCAAGTCTGGTAATGTATTGAATAGCTCTTTTTAGCTATAAACTTAGCAATTCTGTGGTGTCATAACCTTCTAACAGTAGAATACTGGCTTCATTGCAGGCAACCAATAATAAAGGGAAAGAAAAAATTTACACAGCAGAGCGGTTTCTCATTGCGACTGGTGAAAGGCCACGCTACTTGGGAATCCCTGGCGACAGAGAGTACTGCATCAGCAGGTAAGGCAGGAGCAGAGCTGGCGGGAAAAGGGTAAGCCCCCTGCGGATAGGTGATTTTGCTCCCCCCCCCAACCCGTTTAATCCATTTCCTAGAACTCAAAAGTACTTTGCTACATTTTGCTTTAACAGGAGAACATTTTGGAGATTGTTCTAAAAGAGAGTGATAAATAGCAGTCTTCTTGAGCACCCTGAGTTAGTATCGTGACTACTGTTAGTGTTTGTGTACGTAGAAATAGGCACAGAATAAACAGGTCTGCCTGGAGAGGGTGAAGCCGTGTTGCTCCTTGGAGGCAAGCAAGCATTTTGAAGCTCCATCTTTCTTTCTTTTTTTTTTTTAAAGCTCCATCTTTGAAAGGGCATGTTGTCAAGAGGGACCAGTCCTTGGAGAAGGACATTAGTACAGGAGAGGAAGACCTGGATGAGATGGATTGACACAGTGGCTGTGGCAGTGGGGTCAGGTGTCTCAGAGACAGTGAGGTTGGCTCGGGATAGAGCAAGGTTCACCGCTGTTGTTCATAGGGTCATTAAAGAGGCATAGTTGACTCAGTGGTACATAACAACAGTATTTATCTGTACTTGAAATGTATTAGTGTGTGTTATAAATATTTAATAATGAAATAAGATGTCTCATCTCAAGTATTTTATAAAATGTGTATGTGTGCATGTATGTGGGTATTTACTTATTTTTAACAAAAAAAAATACCTTGCAAAGACTTGCAAAGTATTAGTGGATGACAGGCCACATAGACTTACTGGGTCGTCTTTACTGTGTTGAAATGTTCACTGTCAGTACAGAGACTTTTCTGACTTACGTGAGTCAAATAAGGAAGTTTTACAGGGTGTACGTTTACCTATCAGGTGATAGCATTTCTGACCTGTGTGCTGTGTTTTCATCCATTGGGGCTCTTCCATGGCCAGGCAGCTCGCATGGCAACTGCTGTCATTGCTGTCTGGGTTGAACTCCCTTCTCATATTTTTAAAATCTTCCCTGCAATTCTGTGATTTCTATTTCTTGTGTATTATTCCCCAGACTAGAAGATTCTGTAAGGTTTTTATTGCTTATAGTTGGTTTTATATTAGAAAAGCTAGATAATGAAAGTTTCCCTCACCTTTTAATTCTCAGTAATTGATGTGGCAGATGAGAAGAAACAGGTTTTTCCACCTAGGAGAAACCAGAGTGGTGGGACGAGATTTGAGTTTGTAACTCTGTATGCATGTGTGATTTTAAACTATTAGTGGAGAAGATTTTAAACTATTAGTGGAGAATTATTCCAAACCATTTGAAAGAATTTTGTTTGACTTCAGCATGTTTGGTAATGAAATAAATTTAGTTATTAACTAATTAAATAATAGAAAATGGATTTAGCTAGATTAATGCTAGAATTACCTTAAGTTCCTGCCAAGTCTTAAGAGATTCTTAAGAGTTTATAAAACCATTCTAGTAACAGAATCTTTTAATCTTTAAAACTTATGGTAGTTAGGAAAATAAAAATGCTAACTTTGATTTGCTCATTATTTATTTGAACATTTTCCATAATTTCTGTCTTTTTTTTTCCTCCTTAAATATCTTTTCAGTGATGACCTTTTCTCCTTGCCGTACTCCCCGGGGAAGACCCTGGTGGTTGGAGCCTCCTATGTTGCTTTGGAATGTGCTGGATTTCTTGCAGGCATTGGTTTAGACGTCACTGTCATGGTGCGGTCCATTCTCCTTAGAGGATTTGACCAGGATATGGCCAACAAAATTGGTGAACACATGGAGGAACATGGTGTCAAGTTCATCAGACAGTTTGTACCAATAAAAGTAAGTGGAGAGTGCCTATCTATTTGTTGATTGTGACCCCATGTTAAAGGCAGGGAAGAGAGTTGGAGAGGGTGGTGCGAATATAAACATAAGCGATGCTATAACTCATGGTTCTTGTGAGAATCGCATTACCTCACACTTGCAAAGCCATTATTCATTGTGAAGTAGCATGCTTTCTGGAAGTTACCAGTGCTTGATTACTGTAGCTGTTTTCTGGGAGTCGAGTTATTTATATTTCCATCAGGACTGGGATTGGGAAGCAGCAGCTGCACTTAGAGTATATGCTATAATGACGGGAAAAGTAACATCTTTCTGTAGAACACCTAACATTTAGGGGATTGTGGACAAAACTGGCACATGACATTCGGCTTGGTTTGCCGGATGGCTCCAGCTCCTGACAGGCAGATCAGGAATGCCTGCTGTATTACACGGAGTGGGTGGGAGGAGACAGCAGCGCTGCTGGTCCTGTGACCTTGCCCCCTTTACCTCCACTCCCTCAGACTCCCTTCCTTCCTGAATCAATAACTGACCTCTTTTGTACCTGCAAACGTAATGCAGTTACAGTTCTGTGAGCTTATTGGTTAAGTTGATTCTTACTACTCTTCAAACAAGGACATAACCTTTGATGCCATCAGATTGAGTATGGCATGTGTGGAACACTTGTGAGGAATACAATACTTGGCTCATACCAGTGACATCTTTGCATGTGAAAACGCTAAGATGCTGGTTATCTACTAAATAGACTTGGTAGGTAGAGTTACTTTATTAGAAGGTGTACCCAAGAGATGGGATACTATACCTTTCAATACACAGGGAAACAGAATGCATTCCACATCTCTTTGTTGAGTGTCAGCTTGGGGTAAGCACTGGGATGGGAGCTGAGAACATGAAAGTGTCCTTTTCTTTATGAAACTTAAAGTCTGTGGAGAAATCCGTAAGAAATTAATGTAATAACTGTATTTTCTATGAAGAAGAAGAATAGAGGACTAGGAGTGTACATAGCAGGCATACTTTCTGTCATCAGGGCTTCTTGGAGGAGGGGATATTTAAGCTAAAATTCAATTAGAGGAGTTAAGATACAGGGACAAATAGTACATTGTGGATAGAGAACATAACGCAAAAAGGTGTCGCAGGAAGACTCTTCTCGATACTGAAAAATACCCGACTGAGTGGCAAGGTAGGGAGGAATAGAAGTGGGAGAGAACTCTCAACTTAGTACTTCTTTCTTTTTTTTAAGACAGAATAAGGATTTATTTTTATATTAAAACTGCCTAGCCTCAGTGCCTAAAGAATAAGGAGTGGGGTAAGGGAGTATGAAAAAAGACATTCTGGGACACTGTTTTATAGTGTAAGCTTTATAGAGAACAGAATAACATGTTTTCTTATGTTGCACTCAGTTCAGTAGAGCCCTGGCTTGGACTGCTCCTTTTATCACTTGTTGTTTCACTCTTTGCCATGTAGCATGTTCTCCACTGCTCTGGTTACTTGATCACTACTGAAGTTGTTCAAAGAGACATTCTTCTCTTGGCCAAATGCATAACGGGACCAGAGCTTAGCTTGTAAGCCCTCGCAGGTTAGGATGGGTAGGTCAGGGTTGGCCTTCTTCAGCTCCACGTACGTTTCCTTGATGAGGTCCCTGATGCCCTGGCTGCAGACTGTGCGCTGACGTAAATGGATGCGAATCTCTCGCAAGGCTGGTTTTCCCTGGCTCCCCCGAATTGCTGCAGTTGCCGCCATCTCCACTCATAGAGAAGCCCCAAGTCTTTGGCAATTCAACCTCAACTCATTGCCCAGCTCTCTAATCTTAAAAAAATTAGAACAGGAAAGGCATCCTAGAATGTTCAAAAAGTATTGACTATATCAGAAAGGAAGTCAATTTATGCAGGGAAATTACTATTTCTTGATATTAGAAACCAGATAAGAACTGACCATTTCCATACAAATAGGGTGGTTTTATTTTAAAGGTAGAAGAGAAATTGCATGTCATTTTATGTGTTTCTCTGAGTAGATATTTCTAGAAAGTCATGATACGGTTTGCCCTTAAGACTTCAAAGGTGACTCATCGTACCTCCAAGGGACAGGATTTCTGAGTCATTGTTCCCCAGCCTGGAGATAATTGTTGGAATCTCTGGTAGATTCATATGTTTAGGCTCATTTGCTTTAGTACAAACAGCAGGAATGGATCATTTACCATCATAAAGGTGTTGAGGTGGGGGAGATGGGCCACAGAAGACCTTTCAGAGCTGTGCTTTATATTTTCACTTTGAATTAAGTAGATAAATGAAGAAGATAGTGTCATCCACTTTGGTATATGTCTATTTTTGGGTAAAAATCTGTCACCTTTCCAGGTTGAACAAATTGAAGCAGGAACCCCAGGACGACTCCGGGTGGTGGCCAAGTCCACCAATAGTGAGGAAACCATCGAAGGAGAGTTTAACACGGTAAGGAGTGGATTTGAGTCGGCACTTCCTTGTTAGCACACGCGTTTCAACTCATAGTGACCCTGCATACAACAGACTGAAAGCTTGTCCAATCCTGCACCATCCTCAGAGCCTCACTCACTGTGCTTAAAACTGAAACCCATTGTTGCAGTCACTGTGTCACTTCATCTTCTTGAGGCTCTTCCTCCTCTTTCCAACCTTTCCCAGCATCATTTCCTTGTCCCAAGACTGGTCCGTCCTTATAACCTGTCTAAAGTGAGTGAGACAGTCTCGCTGTTGTTGCCTCTCAGGACCACCCTCTGGCTACACTTCCTCAGAGATAGGGATTTGCTTGGTAAGCCAAGAAAAAGTCCGGTGCTCTTCACCAACACCGCAGAGCCATCAAGTCTTCCTTACTTGTTGTCCAACTTTTATATGTAGATGCTTCATTAGAAAGTAATTGTTTATTGGCTATTTTTTAGTTTCTTTCTATTTATTGTTCCAAAATTACTTCTCTTCCCATGATAAGAACTCTATTACTTATAATACCGTTTGTATTGATACAGCAGTGACTTCAGATTCCACCATAACTTGAAATGTTGTCAAGTGGCTGTACAAAGATACTAGGGTTTTTAAATGAGCCGCAGTTCTCATCTTTCTTCCTTACGTTTTCCCCCAACCACAAGTTAAAAAATTTTCTATCTTTGCCTCAAATATGATTATATTTAAGGAATAAATTCCCCTTTTCTTATCAAGAAATAAGAAAGACTTTCTGCTGCATCAGTAGTTTAAAAGATTTAAAAAAAAAATACTTTAATTTTAAAATACTTAGTTCTCTAGACCTGGAAAAATTTGATTGGATTTAATATACAGAAGAAAATAGGCCTGACTAAAAGTCTCATATAGAGCCTTTTTGCTAATAGTCACTACTTCATTAATTTTTCAGGTCTTGCTGGCAATTGGAAGAGATGCTTGCACAAGGAAAATTGGCTTAGAGACTGTGGGAGTGAAGATAAATGAAAAGTAAGTGAGAAATGTTTGTTATGTTGGTCAGCCACAGAAGATCAAAACGGTAACATTTGCCTGAGGGGTAAAGCTCAGAAAGCGGCAAGGGGGGCAGGACAGGAGGATTGATGGAACTGAAGAGCAGGAGGGCGAATTGGGAAGACCGATTACATTGTCAGTATTGTAATGAAAAGCAAAATGTATTTGAATGGTTAAATAGAAAAGTAAACTTTCACACATAATTAAAGGAAAAAAGATAGTATATTTTCATTATCTGCATTTTTTATAAGAGTAAGATATAAGATTAAGATTACAAGAATTTTTGCAGTTATTTTTTTTCAGAGTTTTAGACTCTTAAGGTTACATTTTGATCATAGTTAGAAAGTCCCTTTTTAAACTTAAAAACCCTCTTTTTTTTTAGTTCCACTTACATTATGATTTTTTTTTCTTTTTCTGGACTTTCTTCAAAATCAGACTGGCATTTTATTAATGTAGATAGAGCTTCACAGTACCACTTTTTTCACATATAATACACTCAGATAATGTGCACTTGCATCAGAAGCCCCCAGTACCTTCAGGCCAGTTTCATGGTCTGAATAAGGTACATATTGTTTGCACAAATATTTGTGAACTTAAAACCATGACTAAAGGCTAACAAGTATAAGGATCATTAATCTGATCACTGCATTTCTGGTAAAAGCTCGAAGCATCAAAAAGTTTTATTCTTTCAAGGATTATAATGTAAAATCCTTTGGGCTGAACCAATGACTGAGAATCCCTGGTGTCTGCATTTGGGTCCAGCATGGAGGATATCCCCATATGACCAGTCTTAGATCCAAGTGAGAACTAGTGCCTAATGGCAGGTTGCCTTGGAGAACAAATTTCCTGGGATTAGTTTGAGGATTTTGACTTTATTTTGTTGGGGAAGTTACTAATAGATTTAGCAGGCCAGTGTTTTATCTCCTTGGTAACTGGCTGGCTTGTTTCCAATTGGATGTGAGGTTTAAATTTTGTGCCGTGTTAATAGCTAACATTTATGTACTTACTGTGCACTGTGGGCTATTGTACTGTAACTTTTCTACATTTTCTTACTCAGTCCTCATAATCCTTTAGGATATTCACCTCATCATTCCCATTATTCCATTTATAGATAGGAAACCTGGTTATAGTTAAATACAGTAAAGAATATTATTTATTCTTGATCGTTATTTTTTCACATTCTGGAATTTCTTATAGTTTCCTTATGCCTTAGACTTTGGGTCACTAAACTTTTTGGTTCCTCTGAGATAATTGCATCTGATTTTTTTTTTTTAGTTTTTGTTTTTTGGTGTTTTTTCCCCTCCTCCAAATATACTGCAAGGTTACCCTCAGTTAAAGTTACAGTTTTGGGCTTGGGAGAAAGGGGATTTTGTTCTACTTAATAATGGTAAAGGGGATTTTGTTCTACTTAATAATGGTAACTGGTAACTGATGATTTTGGCTGAATGAACTTTGCAGAACGGGGAAAATACCTGTCACTGACGAGGAGCAGACCAACGTGCCTTATATCTACGCCATTGGCGACATCCTGGAAGGGAAGCTGGAGCTCACCCCAGTGGCCATCCAGGCGGGGCGACTGCTGGCTCAGAGGCTTTACGCTGGCTCCAAAGTCAAGGTGCGTCTGGTGGACCTTACTCTGTTGGGAACAGCATTATTTGGGGAAGCTCTCTGTTTGGAGAGGACACAGGACATTTTCCTAGCCCTGGATAATTTCATTACTTTGACAATGGCATCTTAAATAAACATAAATAGCTGTCCTCACATCAGCTTGAGCTCATGTGTGACACCTGCATATGCTTCTGTTAACTGGTTTCCAAACGTGACACTAAGTTAGCTGTACAATTGTAACTTTTTTTAGGCTTTCAGACTTGTTGGTTCTCAGGGAGACTTCCCCTGCCAGCCCTAGAAGTAGATCCTTTTTTTCATTTAGTTTCTGTTCCTGGGCAGTCTTCATATTTATACATTGTGACTCTATTTTCATGCTTGATTACCTCATGAAGAAGACCAATAACTTTGTTGATTAAATTTCAGCATTCAAATGTTTCATGCATTCATAAAAGTTAAATGTTACTAATTCAAGTATAATTTTGTAACTTTTTAAAGCCTTAGCTAGAGTTGGATTAATCACTTTAGTGATCTTTGTAATAGAATTGATATGCAGAGCTGCTTAAATCAGCAGACTTTCTTCTCTATTCATTCTCTTAGACTGCCAGCTGTACAACTTTTTATATATATTAAAGTAAACCATATATACACACACACATATATCACTGTCAAGTCGGAAGCAACTCAGAGCGGACTCTCCATTGGATTTCCAAGGCTCTAAGTTGCATGGAAGGAGAGTTCCCATCTTTCTCTCCTACAGAGCCACTTGTGAATTTGAATTTCAAAGAGACTTGGCCTTTTTAAAGTATAGTTAAAGTTAAAAGTCATTGATAAGAGTCATGGAATTAGACGCCTGGAAAAGAACAAATGTACTCTAATTCTTTCCTTTAAATGACTTTGGAAACAATTGCAAAGAATTAAGTTTCAAGTGTATAAATCATTTTGGTTGATTTGAGTAGTTTATAATGATGAAAACATCAAAGAATAATGGTAATAAAATCTATTTAGGACAAGGATTTTAAGGAATTTTTACCTGAGCTTAGATTATAGCATTAATATCTCATGCGTTGAAATTAACAGAATATTTGATTTTCTAGTTGATTCATATTTTTTGACTGTATCTAAGTTCCTTATTTCTTGGAATAAGTTACACCTTGTATTCATTATAGCAGTAGGGTCCTGGGAAATCAAGAATTGCCATTTAAAAATATAGTTTGAGATACTTTGCTCTTGACTTTATCATTGTGGTTTATTGCGAGAGAGACTTTTACCTTAACAATAATAACTGAATAGCATACACACAAAAGGTTGCGCTTAAATAAATATGAAGTCATTGCAGCATGACATTCCTTAAAAAACATTGTTGGTTTTTTTCCCCCATCTATTTCGGACATAGCTCTTTACTTGAGGCCTTGTACTCTCTGCTAACACTTGCCAGGTAGAAAGATTTCTTTTTTTAAAAAAATTTATTTTACATTTTTATTAGAGAATTTTTTAAATTTCCATTCATTCATTGTTGCACTTTTCTCCCTGCCCTCCCCACCCCACCCCCCAGTACACACTTCTTTCATTGTTTTACAATCCCTTTCCCCAGATCCACTCTACTATGCAGCCTTTGTTCTGGACTCCTGTCATGACAAAAATACCTAATCACATATCCCTTTGAAACAGTTTTCTCCCAATACCTAATCACATATCCCTTTTAAACAGTTTTCTCCCTCATCTGTTTCAATGCAGTATACCTTATTTATCCTCTTTCTCAGTCGCCCCCCAACCCCAGTGTCAGTCCTGTTTTACAACAGTGGCACTATGCAGTATTTGTCCTTTTGTAACTGAGATATTTCACTCAGCATAATGTTCTCCAGGGTCACCCATTTTGAATAATATTGCATGAGTTCCTTGTTTTTCAGTGCAGTGTAGTATTCCATTGTGTGACTATACCACAGCTTCTCTAGCCATTCGTTTGTTGATGGGTACTTAGGTTGTTTCTAACTCCTTGCTATTGTGAACAAAGCTGGGATAAACATGGGTGTGCATATATCTACTTGGGTGTCAGTTATGGTCTCTTTGGGGTGTATTCCCAGTGTTGGAATTACTGGGTCAAATGGTATCTCTATTTGCAACTTTTTGAGACAGGCCACACCGCCTTCCACAGGGGTTGCACCATTTTACACTCACACCAACAGTGAATTAGGGTTCCAGTTCTCCACAGCCTCGCCAGCATTTGCTGCTTGCTGTTCTGTTAAATTTTGCTATTCTGTTTGGGGTGCGATAATATCTCATAGTTGTTTTGATTTGCATCTCTCTCAGAGCTAGGGATTTTGAACATTTCTTCATGTGCTTGTTGGACATCTGAATGTCTTCTTCAGTGAAGTGTCTGTTCATATCCTGTGCCCATTTTCCTATTGGATTATTTACCTTTATCTTCTTGTGGTGCTCAAGTGTTTTATAAATTCTAGATATAAGTCCCTTATCTGACCTGTCATTACCTGTGGTTTCCTTTTTTACTCTGTTAGAGAAGGTTTTGGATGTGCATAGGGATTTTATTCTTAAAAGGACACATTCATCTATTTTATCTTCTTCTGGTTGTAGATTTTTCAGGATACTTGGAAGACTGTTTATGTTGTGGATTAGGACTTCTAGAGTTCTTCCAAGCTTTTCTTTAATGAAGTTTATAGTCCTTGGTTTTAGTCCTAGATTCATGATCCACCTTGAGTTGGTTTT